TATGCAACCAACCTCTAGAACTCTTTAATGTTCACATTGTTATGCAACCAATCTCCAGAACCCTTCTTGTCTTGCAAAATGGAAAGTGTGTCCCCATGAAATAACAACTCCTTATTCCCTCCTCCCCCATCCTCTTTTATTTTGGCAACCACCCTTTTATTTTCTGATTCTGTGAATCTGGCTTCATATAAGTAGAATCATACAGTGTTTGCCTTTCCAGTGTCTGGCTTATTTCACTAAGCATAATATTCTCAAAGTTTATCTGTACTGTAGCGTGTATTAGAATTTCCTTCCTTTTTAAAGGTGAAGAATACTACATTGGATGTGTATACCATTTGATTTGTCCATTTACCTGTCTGGGAGCCTCTGGGCTGTTCCACTTTTTGGCTGTTTGGATGATGCCACTCTAAATATGGATACTCAACTATCTCTCCAAGACCCTCCTCTCCATCCTTTTGAATCTGTAATGGAGATGGGGTTGCTGGGTCATGTAACTCTTCTTTTTCCTGTTCTGAGGAGCCACCATATTGCCCACTTTTGAACATGATCTGTGAGGGTTCCTCCCTCCCTGGCCTTAAGGCTCCCTCCGTGAGGGCTGAAGAATGAATTGTATTTCTTTCCTTCTTCCCTTCACTTGGGGGGCCCAGCACTGGGTTTAATCCTCTCTTGGGAGCTGGCTGGGGCAGGGCGGGAGAGTGTGTCCCCCCATGTGGAAAGTGTAGTTCCTACAGCACAGGAAGATGTGTGGCTCCAGGCTCCGAGGCTCCCAGGGCAGGCCTTCTTGGAAGGCAGCTGCCGGGATGGGATGAGTCATCTCTGTCTGAAGAAACTGGGACCAGCCTGGATCAGATTGCCTCCAAACCGAAAGTGCAGAGTTCAAGAAAAAGAGGGGCCTCCTCTTGAAAGGGCCCCTCGTGTCTGGTAGGCTTGTTAATCTGGGTGACCACACAAAAAGGCCTCTTTCACAGGTGGGAATCAGTAGGCAATGTGGGAACTTCCTGGCTGCCCGGGCTTATTGCCCACCCCACAGGACTGTGCCACAATTGCTGGGATCCTTGGGAGCCAGGCTCAGGAGGGAGTCTCCACTGTGGACCTGGTGGTGTTGCAATACGGCCTCCAGTGCAGGAGTGCTCATGGGGTAGAGGCGTAGAAACCCTGGGTATGTGTTCAATCAGACATTTGTGCTACATTTCGTAGCAGTCAGAGAACAAGTCTCAGGTAAAAATGCCTCTCTCTATGGGCAGAACTGGGTGATTGGTGATTGGTGATCCTACTGAGGAAAAGCCCTTGCCATCTCTGGGAACCCTTTTGGTCTTAGGTATGTTGGAATTTATTTTGCAGAGGACCATTCAATGGATATATCCTCTTGACATTGATCTTTTGTTTCTCTGGATCACAAATGCTTCCTTTAAAAAAGGCGTTATCTGCCAGGCACAGTGATGCATGCCTGTAATCTCCCAGCTACTCTAGAGCTGAGGCAGAAGGATTGTGAGTTCAAGACCAGCCTTGGCAACTGTGCCAAACTTTGTCTCAAGAAGAAAAAAGGAAAAAAAAAAAAAAAAGAAGAAGAAAAAAGGACTGGGGATGTAGCTCAGAGGTAGAGTGCTCCTGGGTTCAATGCCCCAGTATCATAGAAATAAATAAATAAATAAAGGCATCATTTCCATTGTTTTCAGATGAGTTTTCATACAGTGAGATGTGTGCAAATCTTAAGTATATAATTTGATGAGTTGAACTAGCGTAGAAACCCAGAGTCCACAGTCTAATAAGGATGTAGGACATTTCTGTCACCCTAGAAAGTTCCCTGAGGCCCCTTTTGCCACCTCCACCCCCCACCCCAATCACTGATTATTTTCCAATAATATATGTTAATTTGCCTTTTTTTGAAGGTCATGTAAATGAAATTACACAGTATGTACTTTTTACATCTTGCTTCTTTTGTATAATTTCTCAGGAATCCATCCATTTTATGTGTGTATAAGACACACTTATATGCTGCTTTTTAAAAAAAAACTCTGAGTATATAGCCGGGCACAGTGGCACACACCTGTAATCCCAGCGACTCCGGAAGCTGAGACAGGAGGATCACAAGTTCAAAGCCAGCCTCAGCAATGGTGAGGTACTGAGCAACTCAGTGAGACCCTGTCTCTAAATAAAATACAAAATAAGGCTGGGGATATGGCTCAATGGTCGAGGGCCCCTGAGATAAAATTCCTGGTACCAAAAATAAATAAATAAATAAATAAATAATTCTGAGTATAATTCTATTGTGTAAATACACCCCACTGTGTGACTTCTCTAAGAACTGCTTTTTAAGGAGAGAGGAACTCCACTGGGTTCTACACTCAAGCGTGCCCAAATCTGCCCATTCATCTGGGTTTTTATCCTGCCCTTCCTGAACATCCAGTGGTAGAGCACTTGCCTGGTGAGCACCAGGCCCTGGGTTCAATCGGCAGCACTGGGAAGAAGAAAAATGGGCATGTAGGAGATGCAGCTAATGTGTTCTGCTGCATCGGAGGCAGGGAAACTTGACCAGGGAGAGCTTCAGAGAGGAGGTGGTTTTGCTCTGAGCTTTCCGGAAGAGCGGGCTTAGAATTCTTGGAGATGCATCTTAGTAATCCCCAGCAGAGTGGAAGGAACAGTTGAAGTACAAGGAAGGTGGGGCCCACAGGCTGGTGTTCCTGAGCTCACCACTTCACAGCAGCAGCTGGAACCTGCTGGTAGCCTGCATTATCTATCCCCGTGCTGGGCCCAGAGGTGGGGCAGGAAGGAACCCAGCCACAGCACCTCTTTCTGAGGACCACCGGACTACTGTGTTAAGCACATGCACTTTACACCTCTTGGAATCAGTTGTGTCCTGCCACCTGCAATTGGTCCAGGCCAGGCCTCCCTACAGGTTGTGTAGGCCTCATGTCTGGAGGGGAGGCACTGGGACAGCCCTAGAAGAGAGCAAGAGGGGACTGACCTCCTCCTTGCCTTCTCTGTTCCTCCTCCCTGTTGAGTCCTCTGAAGTGAGGAGCTTTTCCCTCCTGGTTGTGAGTCACTTGGCAGCGGGCACGTGGACACTCAGTGACCCAGGTAGCTGAGTCCTTGGGTTGAGCAATGGCCTTCACATTTTGTACCTCCCTTTGCCCAGGCCAAGGTGCCCTGATCTTTGGACTTAGTCACACCCCAGCCTGGCCAAGGGCAAGGTCACTAAATCTGTATGAGTTGAAATGGAGCCAAGAAAAGCAGTGATAATTCCTTCCCTGTGTTTGCAGAGCACTTTGTACTTTGTCAGACATGATCAAGCTTGGTTTTTGTTTTTTTTTTTTTTTAATCCAACCAGTGAATATTGTCCAGTGCCCACTATGTGCCTGGTGGGAGAAGGGTAAACACCATAAGGAAGGAGCCTGCAGTCTGGTTGAGGAGACATGTGAATAATAAGTGTAAGAACTAGTGAGACAGGAATATGTACAGACCAGGGATCACAGGAGGGAATCGTTGGTTGTACCAGGGTGAATCAGGAAGGGCTTCATAGAGGAGGTATCATTCAGTGGGTCAGAAGGTGAGCAGTACTTTTGGGTGAACTTGGTGGATAGTGCATTTTAGGCAGAAGGAGCAACTGGAGCAAGTCAGGAAGCCATCTCTCAACCCAGCAGTTGGGAGCAGGAAGTTGGATGTGGATGTGGCTGGCAGGGTGAGAAATTAGGATGGAAAGGTGACAAGTCTTAGAAGGCCTGGTATGGAGCATCAGGAGTTGGGACCTCACAGCAGTATGGAGACTTCTACAAAGAGCCCCCTGGGGAGCAGTGTGCAGGATGGGTTAGACTGGAGTGAGACTGGAGTTCAGGGAGGTCAGTTAGGAGGCCAGTATGGTTATCCACTCTAGAGATACTGCCTAAAATGAGGCAGTAGGAGAAAAGGGGAGGGGAGATTGAAAATGTTAATGACTTGGATTGACAGTTGGCTCTTGGGACTGGTAGGGCAGGAAATAATGGAGGATTGCATTTTTAGCATTCCTTTATTAAGTTATCTCGAATGTCTATTACGTGTAAGGTAGTGAGTGTGTGGGGCACAGAGATGAGAAAGACATGGGTTCTGCCCATTGGGAAGTGATAGTCCTGGAAGCATTTTCTAGTCAGACCTCCATTAACTTCAAGCGACAGAAACAATTCAAATTAACAAAAAGAAAACAAAAAAAGTTGGGGGTGGGGAGCAGTATTGCCTCATATACCGGAAAGTTCAGCAGGCTTTCTCTAACATTTCCAAGCTGACCTCAGGTACCAGCTCAACAACCCCAGTGGAAAAGAGTAGCAGTTCCACGATGGATTCTTATTGGTCCCGACTGGGCCATGTGCTTACTCTTAGCTAGTCATTGTGTCCCTCATCTTTGGCTTAGACCACAGGAGGGGTGGTCGGAGGGAAAGCAAGTGTCATCAGTGAAAGACAGGATGTGGATGTCTGTGAGGTACAAAAAGAGCAGGCGTCCACTACAAGCAGATAGGAGCTGGACACAGGGAACCTGTGCAAGGTAGAGACATGGGAAGGGCACATGCAGAGGGCTGCGTGACCTGAGCACCTGCTCGTGGGCGCAGGCTGGGGATCGTGGTGGTCTAGGAAGACTTCAGTTTGCCCACACAGGGCTTTCAGCTAGTGGGGGAGGACAGAGCTGGCCATGGTGACTACTGTACAGTGTAGAAAGATCGGAGCGTCTGCAGGGTGGTGGTTTTCTTCTATTCACTGGAAGGAGGGACAGGAGTGGCTTCCTGGGGAGTCGACCTGCAAGGATGGACAGGAGTTGGACTGAGGGTGACAGTGTGAGTCCCCATGCTGGGCCTGGGAGCCTTCTTGGCCCGTTGCTTGCTCCTTGCTGCTGCTAATACCACCATGGCTTTAGCTTCTCTCCCCTCCGCAGACCTCCACCTCCCACTGGCTGCTCCAGAGCATATGTCCCCTCGGGCGAGCCCAGCCTGGGCCCGTGGAAGGGGCAGGTCTCAGGTGCTCTCTTCCTCCCGCAGGCCTCTCCCTGGAACGCCTGCCCAACTCCATCGCCTCCCACTACCGCCTGACCGAGCGGGAGGAGGAAGTGGTCGCCTGTTTCGAGAGGGCCTCCCGGGTGGCTCAGGTGTTCCTGCAGGAACTGGAGAAGGTGAGCTGGGGGTCACAGCACCAGGCAGTAGCTGCTCTCTGTGGAGCCCCTCTATCTGCAGGCCCACGCTAAGCCCATAGGTCACCCTGTGCGAATGAGAACAAAGTACCTCCCTGCCCCTCAGGACTGTCAGCCACCTCGGTTGGAAAATGTAGCATCAAACTTCTATTAGAATGAGACTCTTGACCGCCATAAAGTAGGTTGAATAAATAAATGGGTCTCTGTCATCTGTAAGAGAACTCTATGGCAAACTCAATTTTTAGGAGCAAATCTATTTTATCTGGTTCACCCCCTATGAAGAGGTCTTCTATTAATCCCTGTTTAGTGGATGAGGTTTACAGATAAATCAATTGCTTGCCACTGTCCCCTTGGAAGGAGCAGTGTCAGGTTGGTTCTTGCAGTTAGATGTCCTTCCCTGCTCTTGGGTGTTGAGAATCACCTTGCCCATCCATGGAACTGACCCAAGGCTTTCAGAGGTGGGCAAAGAGCTGACCAGCAGGGTGCTGGCAGTCCACAGGCCCTGGGTCCCCAGCTCCCCCGTGGTGGGCCTGTCTTGACTGTCTGCAGGTGGTGCATTCCAGCTGATGGAGCACCCAACCCTTCCCCTGCTGAGGGGCTCTGGTTTTGGTCGGTGGAGGAGTGGGGGCAGGCAGGGAAGAGAGACCCTGCTAACTTACACCTGCTTTGGTGTCCACCACTCCTGAGGTCATAACACGCATTCCTTAATTTGACCCTCATACTGACTGGATGAAGTAGGTACTGCTGTTATTCCCATTTTTAAGATGAGGAAAATAAAGCTTGGAGAGGAGTTAAACAGCTTCTGAAAGTTCATGCAGTGAGTGAGTGGCATTGGCAGGAAACGTTGGGGCACGTGGCTCTGACACCTGGGAGAGGGGTGGGGTATGCTGGGCCCTCTGCCTCCCGGAGACCTAGATGGTAGATGGCAGATGCTCTGCAGGGTAGGTTAGGATTGGTACCCCGGAGGAGGAGGTGGTCCTGAGCCAAGAGACACCTGAGCCTCCTCTGCTGTGATGAATGGCAGGAGAGCCCAAGGGTTTTGGTGATGGTCCTTGGAGGAGTCCACCTCAGGCCAGACTTCCCCATAGCACTGCTGGGCCCATCCCTTGCTATGGGGGCTACCCTGTGTGTTGTAGGGTCTGGCAGCATCCCTGGCCTCTACCACCAGGTGTCAGCAGCACACACCCCCAATTGTGACAACCAGAATGTCTCTGAAGACTGCTAAATGTCCTCCGAGGGTCAGCTCACCCTCTGTTGAGAGCCACTGGCCTGGTTCCCTGCCTGATTGGACTTCAGGAGGAAAAGAGAGGTAGCTGCACATACAGGCCCCTGCATCAGCAGAGGCCACTTGAAGACTGAGCCTCCACGTGACCTCCTTAAGGTCATCGGGTCACCACTAGACAGCAGTGTTTTAGGGGCTCTTTACATTTGCATGTGTTTCCAAGGACACTTTCATGAAAAAGATGTATTGCCCTCAGCTGGAAGCCCAGGCTTTGGTCTTTTTAAAGTTGGTGAGCTATGCAGCTGTCTAGGGCTGAAGTCACCACCTGGTGACAGGGAATGGACAAGCAGGCCCCAATAATTGGTATCTCAATTTCACAGAGGGCCATAGAACTGTGCTTCTCAGAAATGCCTCCTGTCTTCCCGAGACCCAGTCCTGACTTCTGAGATATTAAGGAACGCTCTTAAATCTACTTTGATTTCTGAGAGCTAAGATAAAGAAGGGCTTGTTTTCTTTTTTTAAGTTATAGATCAAGAAAGGTGGCATACTGAAGGCCTGTCTCGGCAGGACTGGGTCACCCTGTCAGAGCTGAGTCTTGAGTGACACTCAGTTAATAATGTCATTAATCCTGAACCAGGGTCTCAGCCCTGGGATGTGCTGGCATGCCATGGTGTATAGCAGGGATGGTGCAGTGCCAGGCAGGTGGCAGGCACTCCTATGTGAGATGAATTAACCAATAAGAAATAAGTGGCCTGAACTCTGTAGCTGGCCAGATTTGAGTTTGAAGTCCAGGCTCACACAGCTGTGTGACCACGGGCACTTTCTCAGCCTGGGTTTCCTCATCTAGTGAAGCACACAGACCCATCCATGAAGGACTATCATAAGGCTTAAGTGAGGCTTGTTCCTCTAGTTTCCTTTTCCCCTCTTTTTTTACTTGGGGTTCAGGAGACAACCCCTGAAGAGCACGGTCCCAGGTGAAGCGACCTCTCTACCTCTGCTCAGGCAGTGGTGCTTGCTCTCTGTGGAAGGGGGACATCTCTGCAGCCAGGAACAGATAGGGGTATCTGCGAGTAGTGAGAGGAAAAGTGTGGGGTCTGAGCCTGACTGCCTGGCTCTGCCACCCACAGGCCGAGTGACTGGGCAGGAGGAGCATCACATCGTGCCTCAAGGTTCTCACCTTTGAAATGGGACCAAGACCCACAGTTCCGACCCTTGAGCATGGCTCTGAAGATGAAACGAGTTAATGAATTTAAAGCTCTGTGACTGTTGAACAAATCATGTTAAACATGGGGCTTGTGGCTTCCAGCATATGGATGAGGGGAGGAAACTTGAGACATGTTGGTTTTGTATTTTTGTGGTGTCGGGGATTAAACCCAGGGCCTTGCACGTGCTCAGCAAGTGCTCGACCAATGAGCTGCATTCCCAGCCCTTAGACGCACTTTAAATCTAAGTGAGCTGGGTTGAGTTTTATCTGAGCATTGCATAATGTGCCCTGTAAGCAGCTGGGACTGGGGTAGGGCCACTTCCTCCAGCTGGGCTGTCATTCCCCAGACCCTTCTGCCTCTGAACTTTAAAACAGCGGCTCTCCCACTCTGTTCTCTTCTTAGACCACAAACAACAGCACGTCACGGCATCTGAAAGTCTCTCACCCGGTTGACTATGAGCTCACCTACTTTCTGGAAGCTGCCCTCCAGAGCGCCTATGTGAAAAACCTGAAGAAGGGGTAGGTCGTCGTCGCTGCGGCCAAGCAGAACCTGGACCTTTCTCCTTGGCCAGTGCTTTTGATGCTGCCTCAGCTCTGGTCTGGCCTCTGTGTGTGTGTGTGTGTGTGTGTGTGTGTGTGTGTATGCATGCACACTCTCCAGAGAGGATGGAGCCGGGCTGGCACATGTCACATCTTGTCAGACAAGGCTGTGCAGAAGGGCCGAGCTTCAGAAGGCTGCACGCCTCAGGGGACGCCACTGAGAAGGAGGGCAGGAGTGACTGTCTTCTGAAGGGGGAGGGGAGCCAGGCCTAGAAGGTGGTGTTGAGGGCACAGAGGGAGGGAGTAGCTTGGCACTGGCCTGCTATCATCCCTTGTCACCGAGGTATAGGCAAAGCCATTTTACTTCTCTGATCTCAGGTTCCCCAGAAACCAATTGGGAAGGCTGATTCTTGCTCATTCTAGCTTCCAGAGAACAGCAAGGGGAATCATGGTGAAAATACAAGCCTGGCATCATTTGGGGTGCCACTGTGAGTGAAGGAGCAGGAAGCTCGCTGCCTGTGTGGTGTAGTAAGGGCCCCTCGTTCTTCCCGGCCCCAGTTCCATGGTGCCTGGGATACCTGCCTTGGTAGTTTGCTGCTGGGTGAAGCAGGAACCCCTCAGTGAATAGCGAGGGGGTGGCTGGAGTCGGGTGCCAGGCTGGGAGTGGTGGTGTGTGGTGTGTGTGGGGTGGCAGTGGCGAGGGAGGGAGAAGCTCCAGAATCAGGAGGGTGCTTTGTAGGCAGGCATATCTCCGAGGCCACCCTGCCTGCTGCAAGTTCTCTCTCCCGGCAGGCCAGGGGCTCCTGTCTGTCCCTGCTGCAGGGATTTGCATCCTCCACAGACACTGTGAGCCGGGGCTGGAGGGTGTCACTGGCAAGAGGGGAGACATGCTGAACGTGCCTGTCTCCCTGGGAGGATAAACTTGTCATAGGCCTGAGCTCTCGTCATTCAGCCCTCATTCGCAGGGAGGCAGGGTGACCAGGAGGTAGGATGACCCAGGACATCTGCAATGTCCTTTTCACTGACTGCTTGGAGGTCTTAGAAACCTGGTGGTCATTTTGTTAAATTTCACTTGATCCATTCTTATTTAACCTGCTTTTGAATAGACGATTCATATCTGTGTAATTGGAAAAAAGAAACTTACTATTTTCTCCTACTCTGTATTCTCAACAGACCCCTCTGTGGCCTGTGGGTTCCCTCTCACCCACAACCTGTTCTCCAGCACCAGCTAGGAGGGGTCCCTACAATTCAGTTTAGTTCCTTCACCAACCAGCATTAGCTCAGGTCCCATAGGCTGTCCCACCAGACTGCCTCCCCTACTTCCGATGCCAGTTGCCAGGAGCAGGTTACAACCCATGACTTCTGTTTGACTTGGCTACAAATTAGAGGTTTCCACAACTCCTTCTCAGACTCCCTAATTTGCTAGACCAGTTTACAGAACGAGGAAAACAGTTCCCTTCTGAGGTCACTGGGTTCTTATAGACTGTCACAGCTCAGGAACAGCCAGGTGGAAGGCACACATAGCATGCAGGAAGGGGCGCGGAGCTTCCTTAGCCACCCTCCCCGAGTTCAGCTAGAAGCCGGAAGCTCTCCAGACCTCGCGCTGTGCAGTTTTTATGGAGGCTCCATTAGGTAGACTTGGTTGATTGAACCATTGGCCAGCAGTGACCAGCTCAGCCTTCAGCCCCTCTCCGGCTCTCTCTTCTGGATAATCATTATTACCACTTTGATGTTTATCTTTCATATTTCTTGTCTAGTTTTTATTTTTTCCAAAAAACAACAACGCCCCTCTCCTCTCGTGCTGTGAGCCTCTGGTGACCCTGCCTACTCCATTTCCCCTGAAGTTGCCCGCTGGAAGCAGGAGGACCTGAGCTCACTCCTGAAAGCCATCAGAGGGCTGGCTGGGCCCAGACACACAATAGAAGGTCAAGTTTGAGCTGGGCTCTGGTGTGGTGAGCCACAGGAATCAGGGAGGGGCAGAGGAGGTGGGTGAGGCCCAGGCATCTAGGTGGGCTGGGATCTGCAGGAGGGGAGGGCCCCTGTCCAAAGAAGCTTGGGAAGCAGGGGGTTGATGTCTGACTCTTTAGACAGTAACCTGTGAGTGAGGGAAGGTAGCAGATCTCCAGGAGGAATAGGGGCTTGGTGTTTGCTAGACTTTGACCTCCTTTGGGGGTGTTTCTAGATGGGCAGTTGCTCTGAGCACAGCAGTCCGACTAGAACCAGGGGTGAGCATTTCCATCCAGTGGGCACCCTGTCCCACCCAGCAGCCTACCCATCAGAGCTGCATCCCTTTTGAGCTGTTGGGGGACACAGAGTTTAAGCCTTCAGCTCCCTGGAAGAGAAGGAAGTGGAGTGCCTTGCCTGGAATTTGGAGCAAACTGTGGTGAGGCCACTCTGGGAGGCAGAGGAGGCTGCAGTGCTGTGGGCAGGCAGGTGGCCACAGGCCCTGGTGGGCCTGTGCACTATTCATCCCTCTGTTTCTCTAACAGCCCTTATTAGAGGAGGGCTGGAAGGTGTGGGGCATGGCACCAGCTCTGGATCTTCCAGAGGCTAGGCATGGTGGCACACCCCTGTAATGCCAGGGGCTCAGGAGGCTGAGGCAGGAGGATCGTGAGTTCAAAGCTAGTCTCAGCAACTTAGGGAGGCCCTCAGCAACTTAGGGAGACTTTGTCTCAAAAAATAAAAAGGGCTGGGGATGTGGCTCAGTGGTTAAGCACCCTGGGTCCAATCCCTGGTACCATAATAATAATAATAATAGTAGTAGTGTGAGAGGGCCGGACCCTGAAGCAGGCTGCCTTTGCACTCCCCTCCTACCTGGCCAATGAAGAGAGGGAGAAGTGCAGCTCTGGAGCCACCTCTGAGGGTGAATCCCAGTTCTGCTACTGGAGCCCAAGTCACTGTGGGCAAGTCCCTTGAACTCTGAACCCAGTACCCTCAACTGTGAAGTGGGGCAAGGCCTACTTGGATTGAATCACATGTGAACACCCACCAGAGCACCTGATATGTCATAACTGCTGAGAACATCAGAACCAGTGGTACTGTCATTTGTTTCTATTATTCTCATGCAGTCCATGACTGGGCAGACTACAGCCCCAGACACGAACTTTATACCTTTTGCTTTTTTTTTTTTTTTTTATTTCTCAAGTGTGATGCCGGGGAATGTTGGTATCCTTGTTTAGGACCAATGGATTCAGGGGCCCGGGTAGCCAAGATGGATAGGACTGGCCACAGTCGTGGGCTCCTCAGACCACCTACAACTGTGGAAGGACTTGGGGCCCACGGAGCCCAGCTGCCTCTGCCCACATCCAACAAAGCAGGTGATCCTTGTTTAGTTACTGAGTCCCCGTTTCAGACACAGTGGCCCAGCAAAAACAGGATTCCTATTTTTACTGCCCAGGCAGCTCTAGCTGGAATTGTCATTGCCCTCATCGTGATGTGCCCAGGCGGGAACCCCTCTGTCTGCCAGTTGTGAGCTCCCAGGGATGAATCTGGGGAACACAGATGTGGCCCTCAGCTCCCGCTCTGCAGAGGTTTGGAGGAAGAACCAGGCTGGACCCTGTGAGGCTGTCAGTGCCCTTGGAAACCCACTGTGACCTCTACAAGCTGAACTTGAGCAGTAGGCTTGGCTGCCCTTGTTTTTGTAAATAAACCTTTATTAGAACACAGTCACACCCATTTACTCACAGATTGTCTTATGGTAGAGTTGAGTGGTTGCAATTGGGATCTTGTGGCAAAACCTATAGTATTTGGTCTCTTTATTTTCCCTTTATGGAAAACAGTTTGCTGACCCCTGCACTATAGAGCTTAGAAGTCCTCCCTCCCCAGAAAGCACTAGGGGGTGACCATGTATATGGGAACCTTGTGGAGGAGTGTTCGTGGGGAGGGGACTGTTCTAATTTCAATGCTCTGTCCATCCATCTAATGACTATTTCATATAATAATTCATGCTAAATGAAGTATTACTAAATACAAGACACTTGTGAAGTGTTTGCTTGTGTTAGTCCTCCCTGTGAGGTAGGTGGAAAACTGAGGCATAGAGAACAAATGTGAACTGGCCTGGGTGGAGCCAGGATTATGCATGCAGGGCCTGGTTGGCTTTTGGAGGTGGTGCTAAACACTGGGCAGCACTGCCCACAGCAGAAGTCCTCTTAGAAGATCTTGCTCTACCCTTGAGGTGCACCCAGCTTAGGCCAGCTTCCTCAAATGTGCTTGTGCTTGGTAGGTGCTTGGTAGATGCTCCTAGCTTCTGGTATGAAAAATTGGATAGGTGCCCCTTCACAGCTAGAGGAAGACAGGGCAGGGCCTTGGAGTTGGAGGCTACTCTGTGACCCTGAGCAAATTCCTCTTCTACAACACTAGCCCTATCCTGTACCAGTCCTGCATGGTGGGGGTCCTGGAGGTGCGGGGTGGGTCCAGTGAGAGTAAAGGGATGGAAGTCAGCCTGGGAAGGTACTTCTGTTAACCACCCCCTCTGCTGAAGGTGTCCCCCCTTCCACCTGTTCCATGTTCTGCAGGTGTAGTGAGGTTAAGGTGAACATCAAGGTCAGCCAGGAGGGAAGGAAGGAGTGGCATGGTGGGTTATCAGGTACCTGCTGGGCACCAGGCTGAACCAGTGCCCAGTGCACAGTGCTCTGTGAAGAAGGTCATGTGGTCCTGCTTCATTCACCAGGGGACAGAGAGGTTTGAAGAGTCGTCTCTGGCCCAAGCTCACCCACCCTGGCTCCAGCTGTAGGTCTGGACAGCCTTGAAATCCTTTCCAACGTTTTGGGTGTGGAAGGGAAGTTTGGCCAGCCTGAGGAGAGGAGGGGAGAGACAGGGCCCTGTGGGGAGAGACAGGGCCCTGGTGGTGGCTGGGGCCTATGAATGGATCTTTGGGACACAGGCTCCATTCTCTCTTTGTCTCTGCGACCCTGAGTCACCATTTTCAAAGGATGGCTCCTCTGCCTGCCCTCCCTCCTAGACACCGCCTGTTTCCTCTT